TGCCGGCCCCCTCCCTCCCTGCTCCCAGTCCCCACCTACCTGCCGGCCCCCTCCCTCCCTGCTCCCAGTCCCCACCTACCTGCTGGCCCCCTCCCTCCCTGCCTCCAGTCCCCAGCCTACTTGCCGGCCCCCTGGAGGTTCCCTGGCTGCCTCAGGTTAATGATCACCCCTAAGTGCCCTTGGATTTGACCCCGGTGGCTTCCAGGAACACCAGCAGGCTCCACCCCTCCCCCGGCTAGAGCTGCCTCCCTCACTAGCTTCCTGGGATGGAGAGAGGACTGGGAGGGAGGCGTGGGCAGGGAAGAGCGCCATAACCTCCTCCTACATCGGACAGGGCCCTGCCCCACTGGCTAGCTACACATCCAGTACAGGGACAGGCGTGAACCAGACAAATAAGTGCTAGCTCAGGAGGGTTTCCTAGAGGAGGTAAGTAGAGATTTGCAGGATGAGCTTTGCAACTCTGGGCCAACCAGAGCAGGACAGGTATCCCAGGTCCCAAGGGCAGGACAGCCACAAGGACCCATGGCAGCAGCGAAGGCAGGGGCAGGTGGGCCACAGGACAGGGCTCCCCAACCATATGCAGCCCGGGGTGTGCCCGGCCTGTCCCCAGGGCTGCCTCAGCCTCGTGTCTCCCTGCCCACAGGTGCCCATCGTCCCCGTGGTGTACTCCTCCTTCTCCTCCTTCTACAACACCAAGAAGAAGTTATTCACCTCAGGTACCCCCACATGTGTGCACCCGGGGTGTAGGCCCTGCCTGACCCTATGGTCACGGAGCCCCAGGCCCCTCATCGTTCCCATTTCTGGGTGGCACCCGTGGCATGGCCACATGGTGACCATGTGGCGAATGAGTGACTCAGGCTGGAGTCCCGGCTCTGGGCTTCATGATCTCATGGCAGTCACCCTTCCCAGTGGCCCTGTGAGATGGGTGGTGCTGGGCCCATTTTTTAGATGAGGAAACTGAGGCTCCAAGAGGGTAGCCTGGATGCCCGGCTTCACACGGATGGACCCCAGCTGTGCACACAGCTTGGGGGCCTTGAGGCGGCCTCCTCCAGGGCTGAAGGGCGGCCTCTGAGCCCATGCGTCCAGGCTGATGCCTGCATGGGGTAGATGGAGCCCAGGCAACCCAGGGGCACAGGCGGCGAGGCTCACAGCCTCTGCCCCTCCCAGCCAGTTCCCAGAACATGGGTACCTGGTGCCCAGGTGGGACAGTGGGGTCAAAGTTGGAAAGCAGTGGGGGAACTCAGCCCCATCTCTCCCACAGGCCCCGTATGGAGTGCAGAGGCCAGGCGGTGGGGCAGGGGCGATCGGGAAGGGGGGCTTTCTGGGGGCGGTAACGGGAGCACAGACTTGTCGAAACTGTGGCATGAAGGCCAGGCAGCTATCGGTTTTACTGCACCAACATTACTGCAATTAAAATAACCCACCACGGCTAGGGAGTCCAGGAGAAGAGCCTGGCCTGGCCTCAGGGGCTTCCCAGGGAGTGGCTATGGGGAGCCGGGGAGAGGTGAGGCCGGGGCAGCAGGCTGAGGTGGGCCCCAGCTCCCCACAGGCCGCTGAGGTCTGTTGCTCCCCCGGCAGGAACAGTCACAGTGCAGGTGTTGGAAGCCATCCCCACCAGCGGCCTCACCGAGGCGGATGTCCCTGCACTCGTGGACACCTGCCACCGGGCCATGAGGACCACCTTCCTCCACATCTCCAAGACCCCCCAGGAGAACGGGGCCACTGCGGGGCCTGGCGTGCAGCCGGCCCAGTAGCCGAGACCACGGCAGGGCAGGACCTGGGGAGGGCAGGTGGGAAGCCAATGGCTGGAGGATGGGCAGAGGGGACCCCCACCCAGGCTTCCAAATACCACTGTGTCCGGCTCCCCCGGCTCTCATTCAGCCCTGGAAGCAGGAGGTCCCTTCTGTCACTGGCCTCAGACATGGGCCCCGGCGTCCGCTGCAGGGGGATCACCTGGACCCTCCCTAGGCTTGAGGGCAGGGACTCACCCCCACGGCACCTCAGAGCTGGGATGATGAGGATGAGGCCTGAGGCTGTGGCCGGCAGGTGGGCTGAGCCACAAGGCCCCCGGATAGCCCAGGAGCAGATGGGCGGACCCCAAGTCCCGACGTTCACTGCCCGAGCCCTCTGCTCTGGCCACCTGGGACCCACTCGGATGCAGTCGGGCTCCAGGGTCCAGCCCACAAGCTGCATCAGGCTCTCAGGGAGAGAAGGCGCCTGGAGGGCCGGGAGTCCCAGACTCACGCACCCTGGGCCACAGGGAGCCGGGAAGTGGGACCTGCTGCTCCTGCCGGCATGGAGGACTCTGGAGTCAGCATTGTACTCCGTTGCTGTTTTTTTATAAACACACTCTTGGAAGTGGCTGGACAGCTGTGGTCACTCACAGGGCGGGCAGGGTGAGCAGGGTGGTAGAGCCCCTGCTGTGTCTTCCCAGCTGTTCTCCCTAAGAGCCCAGGGTGGAGGCACCGCCACCCACCCGTGTTCCCTTTCCAGGGGTGGGCCCACATCACCCTCTAATACTTCCATCGGTGGGTGGGGGGTGTCGCCTAATTGGGGCAGGTGTGCCAGGATCCTCAGGCTACTGGGAAGGAGGCCAGAGATTTGCTTTTTGGCCTCTGGTTGGGGCCAACACATCCCCAAGACAAAGCTCTCTGTGGCCTCAAAAAAACCACCTGCCCAGCCCCTCTCCCTTGGAGTGCCCTCCCCACCCACTGCCAGCTCCACCTGGCCCCCTGTGCCAGCCGGCACCTGGCAGCGGGTCTGGGTGGGGTGGCCAGGAGCTGAGAGCCCTCCCCCCAGGCCCCGAGTCCATCCACTGACACAGCAGCTCACATTTCATTTTTATTCTGCTGGGGGTCAGGCAGCAGCCCCCACTGAAGCCCCACCCAGCCTCCAGGCTGCCTGGCCTGTGCCACGGGTCCCAGTCTCCAGCAGAGAGTCCGTGAGCTCGTACCTTCCCTTGGCTGAGGGCCCACCTGGCCTTGGGATGCCGTTGGGCTGGCTAGGGATGGATTGACACAGAAGACCCCAGCCCACCCCATGCCAGAGCCCTGGGAGCCTCCTGAGGAAGGGGAGGAGGAAGAGGAAGAGGGCCCTGCCTGGCCTTCCACTGAGTCACCCTGAGGCTCAGTCACCCCGAAGTGGTGTCTGGACCCCCAGCATGTCGCCCAGGGGCATGGGGGCTGCAGGGCAGAGTGAAGGGCTCAGTCCGGCCTGGGGCGCCGGGCGGTCATGAGTCTTTCTTGCAGGAGCCTAGGGTTGGATGAGGCTAAGGTCAGAGGTCACTGCTCCCCACAGCCTCCCCGCCCAGCCAGATCTGACCCCTTGGCCTTTGGTCACCCCCGACCCCCAAGCCTGGGTAGTCCCTCTAGGCCAACGGGGCGCAGACCCGGGAGGAGGGCTCTGGAGGGTGGGGGGAACTCACAGGACCCCAGCTGCTCCTCCAGGAAGGAGATCTGCTCACTCAGGGAGTCGATACGGCCCAGCTGCTGGAAGGAGTGCACCAGGAGGCTGCCGGGGTCCGGGAGCCCGTGCTCCAGTGCCTGCGAGGCCAGGCTGTGCAGTGGGGCCAGCACCAGCTGCAGCTTCTGCGGGTGCAGAAGGGTGGTGACTCCGGGCCGGCCCCGCCCTCTCTGCTCCACCAGGGTCTAGGGAGGACCCCCGGGAAGGGCTCCACAAGCCTCCAGCCCCAGCCCCTGCGGCAGGGCTCCAGGTGTCCACTAGAGGGGGCTGCCGTGCCAGAAGAGCCTGCGGCAGAGTAGGTGCCTGGGGCATTAGGCTGGCCGGGTGGTCCCAGCCTTGGGGTCCCCGGCAGAACTAGGGGGATGGCTGGACCACTGGCCAGTGGGAAGACTGGCAAGAGCTCTTTGTCCTGGTGGGGACAAAGGTGGTGGAGGGTGGGGAAGTCTTGTCTGGGTCCAGGCTGTGTGTATGGTCTAGGGGGCTGCCACGCTTGGTTCCTCCAGCCCTGGGGGTCCTGGTCAGTGTCTGGCTGCCTCTGCCCGGCATGGATCCAGGCCAGGGCCTCCTCGGCAGTCAGCAGCAAGGAAGCTGCCTCCCCAGGGCCAGGACCTTTTCAGACCACCCCCAGCCATCCGTGGGTCGCGACCATGTCCCAGGAGACTATGGAGCCTATATCCTGGCCTGGGCTGCTGTCGCGAGGACCTGCCCCACCCCAGGCCTCACCTCCTCCAGCAGGTCCACCCTGGACTGCAGCCTCTGCACTTCCTCCTTCATTGCACTGTCCACTCCTGGGGGCAGAGCCAGGTGCTGGGTCAGGGTCGGCCGGCTCCCCACCCACACCCCCAGGCTCCCTCCTGTCCCCAGGGAGAGGCAGAGCCCGAAGACTCAGATCCAGGCCTCTGCCGGCCCTGACGCCTTCCTGGCGTTGGCCAGAGGTCTCAGGGCTGTGCCACCTAAGTACACCGGGGCGCATGGCTCTGCACAGCTGCTCAGGGTCCCGGCCACGCTGAGGGAGGTCGGAGCTGTGGTGTCAGCGGCGCTTTCGATGCGGTGCTGTGGACAGCGCATTATTACTCACGGTACGAGTTTGAAGTGTCACAGCGCGTACCAAAAGTAATAATGTCCCATCACCAGCGGAGGCGTGGCGTCTTCCAGAATGCTGCACTGCACGCAGACAGGCACTTCCGCCTTCTTGGCTGACCATGAGGCTCCAGGCAACCTGCCCCCAGTTCTCAGGAACCCACCTGTCCTCCCGCCCCATCTTCCCTCCCTGGAGAGGGAGCCCCCACCGCCTTCCACCCAGGTTCCAGTGCCCCTCACCATGCCTAACACAGAGCCACATGGCAGTGTCCACTGCCTGCCCACCTCCCCAGGCCAGGCCCAGCCAGGGCTGAGTTTACCTGTCAGGTTGGGGGCCACCCTGGGGGGCCCTCCCTTGGGCACGCAGTGTGTACCATCTGCAGACAGCCTGTGCCCCTCCCAACACTGGCACCAGTAACTGCCGGCGGTGTTGACGCAGCGCTGGGGACAGCCGGCCCCCCCAGCACTGCATTCGTCCACATCTGTAGGAAATGGGGTGTCAGGCGGCCATGCCTGTGGGAGGGGTCCTGCCGACATAGCTCCCTTCACAATCACTCACTCATGGGCCAGCAGTAACCCCAGGACATGCAAGGAGGTGCCCAGGCCCCTTCCAGGGTCCCCCAGGGTGGAGCCAGCCTCACCTGACTGGCAGGTGTCACCCTGCCATCCCGCAGGGCAGCGGCAGCGGCCAGGCTGGATGCAGCTCCCTCCGTTCCGGCACGGCGGCTGGCATATTGCTGTGGGTAGGGGAGGCTGGTCACCAGCTCAGTTGGGTCCCCAGCGCCCTGTGGGGGCAGCTGCTAGGGAGTGGGTGCTCTGTGGCAAGGTGGTGCTTTGCTCCAGGTTCAAGAAAAGCAGCAGGAGCATTGCCGGAAGACTAGGGAATAGTCGCCCTTCTGACTAACACCAGGCACCGAGGGGCGTAGCCCTCACCTGCTCCACAGGCCCCGGGAAGCCCACTGGTCCTCTTCCAGCCGGGGCAGCATGCGTACCGAGGCCTGGCGGGGGCCAGCCCAGGGCTGCGGCGGTAGGCGGTCCTATAGATGGTTCTGTGGGGTGGGCGGGACAGCTCAGAAGGGCATCCTACTCCCCCTTAGCCACCCACTGGGCAGCTAGAGTCCCCTCTCAGAGTGGACAGAGTCACCCCAGCGTGTCCCCAGGGGTCTTCTCCCCAAGGGATGGCACTGAGGGGTCATTGCACAGCCGTTTCCCTGCCTGGGCCTTCCGGTGCTGGCCGGGACTCAAGCCACAGCAGGAAGGCCCAGCCACATTCTGCATGGAGCAGAGGCAGTGGCCAGGCCTGTGTGTGCCCCCACCTATCTGGCCTCCTGTGGGGGCATCCAGGCCCAGAGGAGAGGGCCTGCCTGGCCTGCAGCGGGTCATGGCAGAGTGTGGGCCCTGGGCATCGGAGCACTTCTTAAACCTCCAGGAGACTGAATTCCCAGGCCCCTCCCCCAGCAGGGGGTGGATCTCCCACACCGAGGAAGGAGGACTCTGCCCGAGGCTGAGACTGGGGGGTGTGAGCCCCTTGTGTGGGCACACAGGACCTCTCAGGGTCTGATCTGTGCCTGTTGGGGGCTGTCACGTGGAGGGGCTGCTCAGTGGAGTGGGGAGTCGGGCACCATTCCGTGGAGATGGGACCTTGCAGCCAGAGATACAGGGCAGGGAGGGGTTAATCCCCCAGAAGTGGAGGGGTGCAGACAGGACGGGCGACCCCTCTCAACATGGGGATGCCCTTAGAGGTGCTGCCCTTTGAGACGTGTCGGGACGAGAGCAAGGATTAGGACGTTGGAGGTGACCATGGAACCCCTTGGCTCCAACCGCCCTGGGTCACCCATCTCAGTCGGCCCTCTCGTGGCTCTGGCCTCAGTTTCCCATCTTAGGCCTCAGGATTCACACCCCCCCCCCGACAGGCTGACGTGTGGCAGATGGGGGCAACTTGGGGGATTGGCCTTGGGAGGCTGGGGCTGGGTGGGCTCGGTTGGGTGGGGCACTCACCGGTAGGTGCTGCAGGCCCGGTGCCCGTCACAGGTGGTGAGGAAGGGCTGGTACACGCGCTGCACGAAGGACTCAGAGACAGGGTCCCCGTGAGCCCCGACGGCACACACCCTACGGCTGTGGGGGTGGACAAGGGGTCAGCCCAGGAGTCCCAGAGCAGGACCCAAGAATGATGGGGACATGCGGCTGGGGCAGGACCTTCTGCAGGGGTCCCCAGGGAGTCCCCCACAGGTGCTGAGGGCTGCCTCCAGGACGGGCTGAGGGCTCCTGGTCACCCCACCCCAGCACTCACAGGTCAGGGTTTGGCTCACCCTGGGCGGTAGGCGTGCTCCGTGCCGCCCGCTGCCAACACCAGAAGCCACACCAGTAGCATCTCCTGAGAGCCCCACATGGCCTGTGCCTCCGGGCAGGGTGACCTTCTCCTCTGGGTGGCCTGGCGCACAAAGCATGACCCTTAAGTCTCCCCGAAGATGCTCTGCCCCCAGGCCACGGGTGCAGTTTGCACTTGCTCCATGAGGCCTGCCCAGCTCATCTCCGCTGGAGCCTCCACCAGTGGGAGAGCCCCACGGTGGTGCCCACTCTCTCCTCCCCTGGCCCCCTCTTCCAGCCATCGAGACCCTTGCCGGCCACAAACAGCTGGGGCCACAGCCTGGGGACCACAGGGGGGGCGACGCTGTCCAGAGCTCTTGGTACAGGAATCGAGTGGATCCTGCTGGACGTCTCGGACGCCCGAGGCTCCAGGAAGGATGGCTCCAGGAATGGGGGGCCCAGTTCCTCCTGTCCTGCCTGGTTCCAGGGCCCTCACAGTAGGGCAGGGGTGAGTTTGCACCCCAGTCTGTGCAAACGGGGTGTTCGCGGGCAGAGCTGAGATCCAGCCCCACTAGGGACATGCTGGCCTCAGCTGTTCTGGGCTTTGGTTTCTCATCTGAGTGTGGAACCGGCCCCGGGGGATGGGCCGGCAGCTGCAAGCCAGCAGGAACCGTTCGGAGGTGCACACATTCTAAGACCACCAGAGGGGCAGCCTTCATTTTACAGGGGGTCCCTCCCAGGCTGGGATATGTGTGCAATCAGCCTCCAGGGATCCTGGGACAGTGGCTGTGACAGGTGCACACCTGGGGGTGGGCAGCAGCCTCCTACAGTGTCACCAGAGCCAGAATCCAACCCCCTCCTGGCTGTGCCGCAGGAGCCAGGGGCCCCGTGAGGCTCCCTGAGAGCATGAGAGAGCCCAGAATTAACGGTCTGTGACAATGCCGGGGGTGGGGATTCCGTCCTATACACAGCCAGGGGTCTGGAGAGCTGGCGAGCCCCTGCCATGCTCCGGGGTCCCACCCAGGGCCTCTCAAGGGTGCTTCCCAAAGGCTGGGTGGGTTCCTTCCGAGGCACTCCAGGGCTCCCAGAAGGGAAAGGCCAGGCTTCAGGGACAGAGGCTGGGGTAAGGCTGTCTCTTCTCTGGGATTCAGTTTCCTCAGATACGAGAATAGGATTTCTGAGGCCCCTCCTTGGCTCTGACGGCCAGTCCTATAAACAGTCACGCTGTCCTCAGTCGCTGCTGGCCAGCCCCACTGGGTGTCTTCCCACCCACATCTGCTTCCCACGGGCACTGCCACGGCATCACCCAGTCCCAGCGGGAGGGTGGCTGGGGGTCCTTCGTGGACCTCCTGTTCTCCGTGCACTGGAGAGAAGAGGGCAGGGCAGAGGCTGCCAACTAGGCAGAGGCTGTCCTGGGCAGCTGAGGGGCAGGGACTTAGCTGGGGGGCAGTGGGTACATCACAGCAGTTTTCGAGCAGGAGTTTGTCCAGGGGTCACAGCTGGCTGGAGATTAACTCTGGGGATGGGCCCTGGGTGAAGGACACTGTTAGGGGCTGGGCCTTGTGCGACCCCAAAGCAAGACTCGAAGTGGGGGGACAGGTGACACTGGGGAGGAGGGAAAGAAGAGGTAGGGCAGCGGCCGGGTGGCTTGGGGTGGGCAGGGAGATGCCAGAGCAGGCCTGGGGAGAGGCGAATCTCCCAGACCTCATTGTCCCCCACACATATTCGCACAGCACCCCCCACAATTCCTGAGAGTCGTCTGGAAAGGAAGCGGTGCTGAGAAGTGGAGACTCAATTTTTGAAAGTCATGCTTTTCCCGAGGCCAGAGGAAGCCCGTGGCGCTCTGCAAGCTGGTGCTGCAAGCCCCATTTCCCTTGGGGGGCCACAGCCTCGACCCAGGGGTGCCGGGCGGGGAGGGGGCGGCGGCTCCAGG